GGCGTGCGCTACGCCTGGGCCGAGTGGCCCTGCGAGTACGAGTCCTGCGCCCTCTACAACACCCAGGGGCTGCCCGCACCCCCGTTCCTGATGGACACCCTGCCCGCAGGGGGAGCCCCGGGGCACCCCGCAACAGCCGGGGGGAGGGAGCTGCTTCTCCTCCCCAGGGGATTTAGGTGAGGGGGTGGCGGAGGGGGCTCAGACCTCTTGCAGAACGGCTCAGGGCTGCTGGCACCCTGCCTTTCCGATTCGGGGAGGCGGCTGGCTTAAGTACTGTCTTACTAATTAAACACTTCCCTGCTCCTCTTTGGCCCGAAGTCAAGGCTGCAGGGGCGGGGAGGGGAAAAGCCAATTTAAAATTAAATTTATGAAAAATTATGTTAAGCCAAGCAGCAGGACACACTGCTGGGAGTTGAACCCCTCACCGCTGCTCCTCCCTGCCCATGGAGCTTGGTCCTGGCTCCCCTGGGACACCCCCACCCCTTGGGGCGCGCTGACCCCCATGGCGGGGTGCTCGCAGGAGCCAGGGTCTGCCTGCAGGGGGGGGAAAGGAGCTCTGCCAAAAAACCCACAAGCAAACGCCAAGCCCGGGGCTGGGCCGTAGAGCTGCGTGGGGCACGTGGCTCGGTAGCAGCAGGGAGCGCCTTCCACCTCCCCGTCCTAATAAATAGTTAAGGGAAGAGCTCATTTTCTTCTGGGGTCCTTTTTTCCCTTCAGAGAAAAGCCCTCCATTGCTTCCCTCCTGCCCTAACAGCAGGGAAGTTTGTGTGGAAGAGGCGCGACACAGAATAAAACGTCTGAGAGAGTCTCTGTGCAAAAAAAAAAAAAAAGGTGATTCTTTAACTCTTTTTTGCTGGAAAAAAATATATGCAAGAAGGGGAACCCCAAATGCAGGAAGAGAGCAGGTGAGCTCAGCCCGGCCGCTGCTGTGGCGTTACAGACGTCACCCCACCAAGGCTGTATCAAAACCAGAGCTTAATGCACGCGAGCTACCGCTGGCAGTGAGGAATTGGATCGAACTGGATCCCAGTAGAGGAACTGGGCAGGTCCCGGCAGCAGCCGCCCCCGCTCCTGCGGTCAGGCAGAGCCCAGCGAGTCCCGGGAGGCTTTTCCCATCGCTTCCACTCCAGGCTTCGTTTCTGGGCAAGGTAGGGGAAGAGGAGGAAGTTAATTAGCCGGGCAATCGCAAACTGGGATCTCGGGCTTCCTCCACTAGCATGCAACTAGCCCGAGAGCCAGTTGTGCTAGCCCCGCAGTTGCCATGCCAACGAGGATGCTAAATACAGCTCAGTCTGGGTGTTTTTTTAAACCCACGGCCCTCAGACTGTATTCAGGGCCAGGAAGGGAGCCCAGGCATCCTGGCTCCTGCCCTGCCAGGTGGGGGATCCCTGTGAGACTGCAGAGGAGGCCCCCCCAGCGCCCCAAAACCCAAAGCAGGGGGAGAGGGAGCCGTGGTGCCCAGGGAGAGGGCATGCAGCCCCCAGGGGACATGGCTCTACCTGGGAGACCCATCTGCCTCCCGCCACAGCGCATCCGAACAGGAGGAGGGGGGTGAGCTCAGCATCCTTGGCATCAGCCCCCCAGGACTGGAAGCTCCCAACCCCGCTCCCAGCAGGCTGGGCCACTCTCTCTGCCAAAAATGGGGACACCCCCCCTCCCTCAGCCCCCCAGTTTGCCCAGAGCTTGGATTTAAGCGGCAAGTTCTCCACTTTCTGTTCCTATAGCAACTCCCGCCCACACTTGGGCTGGCAGTAGCATCAAATCCCGGCTGCCAGAACCCAAGCCCAGCTGTAAATGGAGCCCTCAACCCCCAGAAGCCCCCCAGTTCTCCCCCAAAAACCTTAGGGTCTCAGCAAATTGGTTAGGGCCATGGTGGACGGATCCAGCCTCACCCCCAGGGTGGGATCTGGTGGCACGGGAGCCAGGAGGAGAGCAAAGAAGTCTTCTCTACCGAAAAACCTTACCTAGAGCCCCGCCGTTGGAGAGGGGCGTGCTGCTGACAGCCTCGGGGATGCAAGCGTGGGGTTTGGGCTTGGTGGTCTCCAGCCCGGCCAGCAGTGTCATGAAGTCGACGACGGTATCGATGTCCTGCTTGTTGGCAGTGGCTTCCCTCAAGGCGCTCACAGCGTTGAGGCGGCTGAAGGAGGTCAGCTCAGAGATGTTGGCCCGGAGGAAGAGGAGGATGACGTTGAGGTCGTTGACGGGGCAGGTGAGCATCTTGCGGCTGAGGAGGTCGAAGGCGGGGAGCATCTCGTAGACAGAGAGCAGCCCCTTGTCCCACTGGCAGAGCTGCAGAGCATTGTAGATGACGACGGGTAGGAGGAGGACGTAGACGCCGCCGACCGAGACGCTGATGAGCTGGAAGACGGAGAAGAAGACCAGCTTGCAGGGGATGAGCGGGGGGATGTGGGGCTCCGCCTGGAGCAGCCCCGTTTTGATGGAGCAGCTGAACTCGTCCTGGAAGAAGATGTTGAGGTGGAGGAAGACGAGGTAGAGGCAGGTGGCAGCCAAGAATAAGAGCAGCAAGAGGTTCCTCAGGATGTAGATGAATGCCAGGGAGTGGGCGTGCTGCTTGCAGGTGAGGTAGCGCTCCAGCAAGGGGAACTCAAAATACCTCTCCCGGCGGGCCCTGGGGGCAGAGGGGACACACCAGGGACTTAGAGCCAGCCCCAAACCACGTTGCTTCACCGAAGCCCATCCTGGACGCGGCCACAGCCACAACGCCAGGGGGAGGGACTTCGGGGGGACGTGGTCACCAGTTGAGGCTGCCCAGTGGCCTCACCTCTCGTATTCCTCCCAGAATTGCTCTGGCTCGGCGCTGGCCTGCTGGACCTTCCTCATGTGCTGCACCAGGCGCACGGAGCGGTTGTAGGATTTGTCCAGCTCGTCGATGATGAAGAGGAGGTCGGAGTGGAGGGCGGGGGCAGCTGCGTAACGCCACAGTAGGTAAGGCATGTACATGAGCACCGCCACCACCAGAAGTGAGTATGGGAAGACCTGGGCAAAGGAGACAACCGAGCGTTGAGCTGCTTCACCTCTGCTGCACACCCAGGTGGGACCTGAGGGCACCCAGCAGCAAGCTCGACCCATACCTTGAGAGCCCAGAGGGACTTGGTGATGGCCTGTCCTTCAGCATCAAAGCCGTGGTGGACGAGGGAGTCCCAGCAAGCTGTGTCGACGTAGGCAGACTGCTTCCCCGTGAAGTTGGTGGGAGAGAAGCAGCTGATCTGCGAGCCTAGGGCGAGGAGAAGGGCAAACCTCAGCCACAGGAGGTCCATTGAGTGTGGGCCAGCACTCCGCAGCCAGGCACCGATGCGTTTACACGAGGGCGCCTACAGCTAAGGCATCACTGGGAATTAAAAAAGCCCTTTTCACAGTCATTTTGTAGCTGTCCTTCCCCACCATTGCATTTTTCCAGCAAGGACTTTTCCATCACTTCCCAAACACAAACCCTTTCAGCACGGCCGTGGGTACTTGGTGGGGGCAAATTAAAGACGGGCCAGACACTGGAGTCCAACCAAATCCCCAGGGGCAGCGGTGGGATGTTGGCCGAGGCCAGATTTAGCCTGAGGTCACGACGCACCATCAATGCAACCCTCTGTGCTGCCCTCACAAACCCCGGCAGGACAGAATATCCCAAGCCACCCTGCTGGCACCCTCCTCCTCCTCGGAAACAACCCTGCGGCACCCAGAGGTGCTAGGGGCAAGCAGCTGAAGCGGGGCTTCGATTCACCACCAGTCCTGGGGTTTAGCATGGCCGTTCCCGGGCTTTCCCAGCAACCAATAATCCATTAAAAACAATCAATAAATATCCCCGAGAAAGATCAGTTGCTAAAACAGGATTTCCAGGCTGCCCTGCCTTGGACCACAGCCACGCCGGTACGAACACGAGGGTTTTGCAGCAGTAGCCGAACTGCCGCCGGCAACTGCCCATGACCCGAAGATCCCTGTTGCAAAAGCTGTTACTCACCGGCGGAGAACTCGCGGGCGAAAGCCAGCGAGACAAGGAAGAGGGGCAGCCCCACAGTGACGAACTTCAGCAGGCGATCACTTGGCAGCCCCAGCCGCAGGCCCTTGGCTCGGGAACCGCCGGGATCCGGGAGGAGAGCATCAGAGAGCATGTACTCGGCGGCCGTGTGCGAGAGGGACATTTTTCTATCGAGGAAGAGGAGACGACAGCGACTGCTGCTGCTGCTCGGGGGCTCTGGTGTTGTCTGGGGCGTGACCGTCTAAAGGAGTGACTTTGTAGGGCTGAAGGCATCACTTGCCAAGCCCTCTGCACCCGATGGCTGTAAATGACAGCTTAGACAGCACATTAAATCGACTGGTAATTACAGGGGGAAGCCTTTTCACAAATAGCACGCCCCAAAATAGAAACAAAAAACAAAAAACAAAATAGCAGCCGCAGCACCGGGCTGGGAAGGCAGTGTTCCTCCCCAGCCGCAGCCGCTCCCCGGCTCCTGGTGGTTTTACATCCCTCTCTCATAAGCAGATGTATTTCTGGCGGCGCTTTCGAGGGGCGTGGGGCTCCCCAGCTATTTTCACCCCTTGTGAGGAGTGGGTAGGCAGGGGACAGGGAATTACCCTACCGAAAAGCACCAACCAGTTCCATGGTGGCCCTGTGGGGTACAAAGAGCCCTTTCCTGCACCCAAACCAGATGGAGGGGCTGGAGAAAGTCCTGCTGCCCGGCCCCAAGCTTTTGGGGACAGGCCAAGAGACACCAAGTGCTGGTGGCTGCCACTTTGAGGCCGAACATCAGCTGCTGTTCCTCAGCATTTCATATCTCCACTTGCCTTCCCCTCGAGGCACAGGGGAAGGAACGTGGCTCCAAGGCAAGCTCCCGAGGGAGAGGGATCCCGACAACGGGGTCTGGAAACATGCGATAGGGAAGTCAGAAGGGGCGGTGGGGTAGAAAAGATTCTCCCAGCAGCGTAGTCACTCCCCAAAAACCCACTCCGACACCTCTGGCAGCGCAGAGCAGAGGGAGTCCCGGAGCTGCTCAGCCAAGCCAAGCCAAGGAACTCCTCGTGCAGTCTCTCAGCATAGCAAAAAAAAAAACCAAAAAAACCCACAGCCGCTGCCAAATTGCACTTTCGATGGATTTTCAAACAAAGGGAGTCTCCAAATTTGAACATGGAGCGCCAGGATATGAGGGAGAAACCACTGGTCAGCTCTGGAGGGATGAGCGATGGCCCTCAAATGGGGAGGGACTGCACCTGGGTGCAATCAAACCTGCCCAGGGACCGCAATCCGCCTGGCCTGAGCACTGTGAGACACAGGACCCTTCACCTCAGCATGAACTGCGTCTTTTATTGCTCAAAGACAAGTTCAAAACACAGATTGGGCAAAGCCCACGTTCTACCCAGCCTCGTTTGTCCGAACAAGAGGCTCTTCAGCATGCCCAGTTGCTTTTCTGCACCAAATCGGGGCAAGAAGCACAGGGAGGTACCTGGTTTGAAGCCAGCAACACTGGTACCAACACAGGAGGTCTCTGGCAAGAAGCAGAGACCATGGACTTCATCACACTGCTGGCTCCAAGGCAGACACCGCTGCAGAGCGATGGGACCCAGCACTACCACGTGCTGAAGACGTGGAGATAGACCGTACTGCTCCCGTCCTGCCTCGTTAGTTGTTAGCGATGTCCAGCTCCAGCCTCTTCAGAGTCTTTTGGAAGAAGAGGGGCGGCTTGCAGACGAGGTCTATCCGCTCGCCCAGGGGCAGGGAGAGCCGGTGGGCGTGGAGGTGGAGAGGGAGGTGGCGAGCCTTGCTCTGCTGCAGCTTCAGCCTCTTCAAGGTGATTTCAGGAAGCTTCTGCAGCGAGGACAGAAAATGTCCCTTCTGCAACCCTGTCTCTTCAGCTGGGACATGAAAACCCCGGCCCAGGGGACACAAAGGGGCTGCCTGGCCCCAGATCCGGCTCTGGCAGCACCCCCCCAACACAGGACCTGCCTTACCTGGGGCGCCAGCTTGCTCCAGTGCGAATATTTGTGATCCCCCAGGATGGGGCACCCCAACCCATACGCCAGGTGAACCCGGATCTGGTGCTTCACCCCTGAGGAGGGAAGGAAAAAGGAGAAATGTGACAACCAGCAGTGCCAGGCCTTGGCTCCCACCTAACACCCTCGGTGCCGGAAAATCCCATGCCAAAATCATCGGCAACTGGAGAGCGGCCCAGCAGCGAACCATCACCCCAGGGTGGCTCATTCCTAGAGCCTTGGCCCAAAAAGGATTTCAGTCATGTCTAATAACGAGTTCCCGCTCCCAGTGCTGCACAGAAAGCAGATCCAGCAGCCGACACAACCCTGGTGACACCCGGCCAAGCCTCACCCGTGATGGGCTGGAGCTCCAGCAGAGAGCAGGCGGAAGAGCTAGCCAGAAGGCGGTACCGCGTCACGGCGCTTGCGGCATTGCGGTTCTTGCGGATTTTCACCACCTTCCCATCCTCCGGAGACAGGCGATAGTTGGGGGCACATGTCATCTGAACGGCGGCGAGAGGGTGAGCCCACAGGAAGGCAGGACAGGGGGTGGCTGGGGAGGAGGAACGTGAGGGCAGAACGGCAGCCCAGAGGACAGCCCGCTCACCTTGTAGTGCCGCTGGTGGCTCTGCACCTCCTTCTCCACGATGGGGATCTCCACAATGCCCTCGGTGGGGTCTGGGTCGCCCAGGCTAATTGCCCTGGGGAGGGAAACCAAGAGTCTGTGGGGTGTTGCTCCGGCAGGAAGGCAACCTTCCGCTCACCCCCAGCCCTGTAAAAAGATGCTTGAGGAAAAATAAGGACACACCCGCCACCTCCACAAAGCCCCATGTCCCCACACCCTGATGACTGTCCCTTCACCCCTTCTTCAAACCCTATGGGCCCTTCAAAGCTGCTTCTCCACCCAAGACTTTCCTACCAGTAGGTCTTCTCCACCTGACGAGTTTTGAAGAGAAGCCGTATCCTCTCTGCCACCTCCTTGCTCCGCGCCAGCACCATCACGCCCGTGGTCTCTTTGTCCAGCCGGTGGCAGAGGTGGAGGGGTTCGGCTTTCATGTTCTCCAACATCTTGGCCAAAATCGGCAGTACGTCGGCAATACAATTCTTCACCCCGGGGCCACCTGCATAACCCACAGACAAGGTACTCAGGGGAGACGTTCACCTGCCTGTGTACCTTAAATTACTCCCGAAACGTGAGACAAAGAACGTGACCTGAAGGTGACAAACTCCCTGCGTCCCACCCTGGGAAAGAAAACCTCAGCACAGGGAGGATGGAGGCAGAGGCTGCCCTGACAGCCCCGTGCAGCCATTTCCATTTGCCCCTCTACAGCATCAGCATGGATGTGGCTTTTCCTCACCGTGCACAGGCAGGCCGTAGGGCTTGTTGATCACCACGATCTCCTCGTTCTGGTAGACGGTTCCCTGCTTGAGCACTTTGGCCAGGACATTGGGGTGAACCTGCTGCAGCTGCTTGCTCAGCAGGGCAAGTTCCTGGACCCGCCTCTGCGCGGGGTCTTTGGGGATCTGAGGGGAGACCAAAACGCCATCGGTGGAGGATAACGGCTCCTGGCTTTCACACAAAGCTCCTGCGCGACCCCCGCAACTCGCCCGCCTTCCCGCTCCTCGCTCGGCAGCGGCGTGTCCGAGGAC